TGTAGTCCCAGCTACTGATGAGGCTGAGGCAGGAGAATTGCTTGAACCTGGGGGGCAGAGGTTGCAGTGAGCCGAGATCCTGCCACTGCACTCCGGCCTGATGCCTGGTAACAGAGCAAGACTCTGTCTCAAAAAAAAAAAAAGACAGTAAAAAGAAAAAAAAAATGTTTGCTTCATTGCCATGAAAGGGTCATACCAGTTTTTACATCCACCAACACATGAGTTTCTTTTCCAAATCTTCAACATCCTGTGAGAGATAGTTAAATCATAGTTGTTCAGAGCACAGGCTTGAGAATCAGATTTCAAAGGTATGAATCCGCTCCCTTTTTCTCTGTTTTAGAGGCAGGGTCTTGTTATGTTGTCCAGGCTGGTCTCAAACTCTTGGCCTTAAGCAACCCTGACATCTCAGCCTCCAAATACACTGGGATTACAGGTGTGAACCACCTTGCCCAACTTCCATTTTCTAGCTGTCTGATCTTCAGAAAATCAGTTAAATTCTCTGGGCCATAATTTACTAATAGGTTTCTTGTAAGTATTAACAATTAGCTACTATTATTTACCTCCTTTAGTTCCTGAGACTCCTGTGCACAAAATATACTTGATGTGTGCCTCAGAACCTAATAACCAAAGGTAATTAGAACTACAGGTAGTTGTATGATTAATGACACGGGACATGAGACCATTTGGAACTAGGTAAAAAGGCTTACCTTGAGGACAGCCTTATTAGAAGCAGAGGCAAGTACAGGTTTTGTGAGCTTGAAGCTTATGCATGTATAGGTTTCTCTAATTATAAAGACAGGAAATTACAAAATCAGGTACAAAGGCTTGGGAGTGGCCTAAAGCTTAAGTTTGATGAAAAAACCACCTCTGGTTGGAACCAATAGCTTATGAAAAGGTAGAAAAAAGCCTGGTGCATGGGGTGCTCCTTAAGTCCCAGCTATTTGAGAGGCTGAGGCAGGAAGATGGCTTAAGCCCAGGAGTTTGAGCCTTATAAGTGTGCAATGGTGATAAACAGCTGCTGTACTCCAGGCTAGCAACATAGTGAGACCCTATCTTTTAGAAAAAGAAAGGATGAGAGAGGTAACACTTGCCTGACTGGAACAAAAATGAGAAACCCATATAAGAAAATAACTATGAGTGAGGTGGCTCATGCCTGTAATCCCAGGACTTTGAAAGGCTGAAGTGAGCGGATCACCTGAGGTCAGGAGTTCAAGACCAGCCTGGTCAACATAGTGAAACTCCATCTCTAGAAAAAATACAAAAATTAGCCCGGTGTGGTGGTAGGCGCCTGTAATCCTAGCTACTTGGGAGGCTAAGGAGAATCCCTTGAATCCTGGAGGCGGAGGTTGCAGTGAGCCGAGATTGCACGAGAAAGAAAGGGGGGAAGGAGAGGAGAGGGGGAAAAAAAGAAAAGAAAAGAATACTACTTCATTTGGCTGTTTTTATACCTGTAAGGAATGAAGCTCAGAGGTCACACAGCTAGTAAGAAGCCAGCATCCTTCGATGTGGGATTGATGAGGAGGATAGGCATATAGAGAGAACACACAAGCAAAACACCATGGTGCAGATTTTGAAAGAAAAGCCCCATGATTAGTAATGAGTTTGAATTACTCAAGAAAGTGATCAAACCCAATTCCAGTCCTGCATTCCTCTTCACCATCAGGAGTCTGGCGCCCGGACACTGCTAGCTGCCAGGTTCTTTAAGAATCAGCCCCGGTCCAGCCCACTCCGTGGGCCAATAAGCTTCTGAAAAGCAAAACTAGGAAGTTGCTTTCCAATAAAAAGTGGAGATTTCAAGACAGGAGGCTTTAAGCAAGTTCGAGTGTGTCTGTATTTGGTCTTGCTGATTGGCTGCGCTCTGGTCTTCCCAGCTGACATTAGCAGACTGCTGCTTTGCCCTGGTGACGGCCTGCGACGGCACCCCTAGAGATCTCTAACAAGCTTCTTTCTACCCACCCTGTTCGGTTGTTCCCAGGTTTGACTTCAAGGCGCAAAATGGCGGCCTCGTCTCTTGCTGTCCTGCGAGCGTCCCGGCTGTCAGTGGAGCCTGAAGAGTTGGGCGCAGTTGCTGGGGTATCCAAAGCTGAGGCAGGTTGACCAGATCATTTGAGTTCCTGCCCGGATGATGGTGACACTGTCCCTGGAGCCCACCGGCCGCTGCATCTGGGACGAACCGGTGCGCATCGCCGTGCGCGGCCTGGCCCCGGAGCAGCTGGCCACGCTGCGCGCGTCCCTGCGCAAAGAGAATGGCGCGCTCTTCCGGGCCCACGCGCTCTTCCGGGCCCACGCGCGCTACCGCGCCGACGCCCGCGGGGAGTTGGTCCTGGAGCGCGCGCCAGCGTTGGGCGGCAGCTTCGTGGAGTGCGAGCCCATGGGGCTGCTCTGGGCGTTGAAGTCCGAGAAAGCCTTGGGGAGGCTGGTGAAGCGCGACGTGCGGACGCCCGTCCCCGTGGAGCTGGGGGTGCTGGACGGCCACGACCCCGAGCCTGGGCGGCTGCTGTGCCAGGCGCGGCACGAGCGCCACTTTCTCCAGCCGGGCGTGTGGCACGAGCCGGTGCGCGCGGGCCGAGTGCGCGCCAGGCTCTTCCTGCCGCGGGTGAGCCACCTCTGCTAATTGTTCGCGTCTGCCCATCCCGTGTCCCTGCGCTTTTCACACGGAGAAAGGATGTAGTTTCCAACATTCCGGAGGTTAGTGTAAGGAGACAGGAGTGGAATGGAAAGCTGGCTGGGGAAGTGCCCCTGCTGCTCCAAAACTGAGAGGTCCTTCAAACCTAGTGCTCATTTAAAAGACATTGTAAGGAAAGGGAAAAGGCACATAATATTAAAAAAACAAACAAAAACAGGCCGGGCGCGGTGGTTCACGCCCGTAATTCTAGCACTTTGGGAGACTCAGGCGGGCGGATCACCTGAGGTCGGGAGTTTGAGACCTACTCAGGAGGCTGAGGCAGGAGAATTGCTTGAACCTGGAAGGCATTGGTTGCTGTGAGCCGAGATCGCGCCATTGCACTCCAGCCGGGGCAACAAGAGTGAAACTCCATCTCAAAAAAAAAAAAAAAAAAAAAAAAAAAAGCCATTTGCAGGTAGTTTCAATTTTCTTGATGTTGTTTATTTATTGACCAGAAAGTCAATTTTTTTTAAATAAAAAGCATTCCGACTGGTTTTCTCACTCTATTTCCATGGAGGTGCCAGGTGGCCGGGCCTGTGACAGCGCAGAGGTACGGTGCCTGCCTGCCCACTGCAGGGCCTGTTCGTTCCCCGCTGCCGCCACGTAGCTCCCCGCTGGCGATGATTTCCCTCCAGTTGTCACTCCAGGAGAGCAGCCGCCTCCTTGTGTAGGGCAGGACCAGGTGTTGATTGTGGCCTCTAATGGTGTCCTTGTCATCACTGGACAGGTCCCCAAAGATCACGGTCTTGTCCGTTGTGAGGATAATTCAATCCACAAGCTGGGGCTCCAGGTGCTGCTCTAGCCAGCGGTGCTTCTCACACACGGTGGTCATACTTCCACAGGGGCTGGTGCAGTATGAAGACCTCGGTGTTTTGCACGTGCTTCATCTCTCACAAGGCCCTACGGGGTTGGGCTCCAAGCCTCGGGAAACGCTTAGAGCTTCACACCCATGGGCCACTTTATCTGCCAAGTCGGGCAGCAGGGTGCGGTACTGCTCCCAGGCCGGAAGCTGCGGTGCTGCTGCAGTGTCACACGCAGCTCCCTGAGAAGCGGAGGCTGAAGACCCGCAGGAGGCCCTCTGGAAGCCGCCAGCAACAGTCCGTGTCCTCCAGCACATGCATGGGCTGTGCTGCTGTCACTGCTGGGGCACTGGGGTCTCTCGGGATCTGCGGGGTGTGGGGCCTGCAAATGTTCTTTTAAAAGTTTCTCAGTTTTGCAACTTTTCTTGCAACTCCCACAGTCTGTTAAGGTTTATGTAAATTAGCATTTACAATAGGAAGAAGGCCTCTTGTTGTCAAATGGAAATTTGAAGTTACTGGATACTTTTATGTTACATAAAGAGCAATCAGGCCAGGCTTGATGGCTCATGCCTGTAATCCCAGCACTTTGGGAGGCTAAGGTGGGTGGATCACCTGAGGTCGGGAGTTCAAGACCAGCCTGACCAACTTGGAGAAACCCCGTCTCCACTAAAAACACAAAGTTAGCCGGGCGTGGTGGCTTATGCCTGTAATCCCAGCTACTCTGGAGGCTGACAGGAGAATCGCTTGAGCCTGGGAGGCAGGGGTTGCAGTGAGCCAAGATCACGCCATTGCACTCTGGGCTGAGCAACAAGAGCGAAACTCTGCCTCAAAAAAAAAAAAAAAAAAAAAAAAAAAAAAAAGAGAAAGCAACCAGCCAATGTAAAAATGAAATGATGGTATCCTTATTAATAATCAAAGAAATGCAAAATAAAACAACAGAGTACATTTTACACCCTCAGAAGTTGCAGACATTTAGAAGTCAACATTATCAATTGCTGACCAGTATGTGGAGGAAATGAAACTCACTGCTAGAAGGAGTCAGCATATTCATCTACTCTGGCAAACAATTTACCTTAACTTAGAAAGTTGAATACGTGGCTGGGTGCAGTGACTCACGCCTGTAATCCCAGCACTTTGGGAGGCTGAGGTGGGCAGATCACCTGAGGTTGGGAGTTCGAGACCTGTCTGACCAATGTGGTGAAACCGGTCTCTACTAAAAATACAAAATTAGCTGGGCGTGGTGGCACATGCCTGTAATCCCAGCTACTCAGGAGGCTGAGGCAGGAGAATCGCTTGAACCCAGAAGGTGGAGGTTGCAGTGAGCCGAGATTCCACCATTACACTGCAGCCTGAGCAACAAGAGTGAAACTCTGTCTCAAAAAGAAGGAAGGAAGGAAGGGAAAGAAAGGAGAGAAAGAAAGAGGGAAAGCAAGCAAGCAAGAAAGCAAGCTAAATATGTTATTCTACTTGTATATGGGCAAGAAGAGCAAAACTGTCTCAAAAGGAAAGGAAAGGAAGGGAAGGGAGGGAGAGAGAAAGAAGGAAAGAAAAAGGGAAAGAGAGAGGGAGAGAGAAAGAAAGAAAGAAAGTTGAATATGCTATTCTACTTGTACATGTGCACCAGAAGGCAGATTCCTTATAAGAGCAAAGCCATTGCAGATGAGCAGTTAATTTAAAAAAAAAAAAAAAAAAAAAGAGAGAGAGAGAGAGAGAAAAACCAACTGGAAACAGCCCAAATGTCCATCAACAATAGAACAGATTAATATACTGAGGGGTATTTCCAGCCATCAAAGTGATTGAAGTACAGTTACAAGAATCAACATCTACCAAGATATGCAAAATAAAAGAAAAAAATTTTAAAAGAATCAACATGGATGAATCTCCAAACCACTCTTCAATGAAATAATCAACCCCTGGAAGAATACATTCAGTATCATTCCATTTAGATACAATTCAAAAAATAGGCAGATTAAAATATTGTTTGCAGTACCCATCTAAGTGGTAATACTATAAAGAAAACCAAGGGAATGATACACAGAAAGTCCAGGATACTGGAAAGGGAGGAAACGGTACAAGTGTCTGTGGGACTTTGATGGTTTGATGGTATCGGCACTTAACTATTTCTTAAAGTGTTGCCTATAAGGTATTTGCGTTTTTTTTTTTTTTCCCTGAGACAGCATCTCACTCTTTCACTCAGGCTGGAGTGCTGTGGCATGATCTCAGCTCACTGCAACCTCTGCCTCCCAGGTTCAAGTGATTCTCCTGCCTCAACCTCCTGAGTAGCTGGGACTATAGGTACATGCTACCACGCCTGGCTAATTTTTGTATTTTTAGTAGAGATGGGGTTTCACCATGTTGACCAGGCTGGTCTCAAACTGACCTCAGATGATTCCATCTCAGCCTCCCAAAGTGCTGGAATTACAGACATAAGCCACCGTGCCCAGCCTGCGTTATTATTAATTGTTTTTTGTATGAAATGCAAACTTTCAATGTAAATGGTAAAAAATACTCATTTGTGAGTGAATCATTCAGAATGAGTAACCTTTTGAGTCTGTCTCCATTGAATGAGTGCATTCCGTTGAGTGCCCCGGAGAGTCATTTGTCTTTTCTATGTAGCAGTCTTTCTTCTCATTTCTTGGTAGTACCCCATTAGATGGATTCGTTTACCAGTCAAAGGACATTTTGGTTGTTTCCAGTCTTTAGCTATAATGAATAAAGTCACTATAAACACTTGCCTACAAGTTTCTCCATGAACACAAGTTTTCATTTCTTGTGGGCAGATACCTAGGAATGGGATTGCTGGGTCACATATGTGGTAAGTATATGGTTAACTTGATAAGAAACCATCCAACTGTTTCAGGAATAGTTTGGTTTGCATTTTGTTTTGTTTCTTCCCAAGAACCTGGGCCCTTTCCTGGGATTGTGGACATTTTCGGAACTGGAGGTGGCCTGCTGGAGTATCGGGCTAGTCTGCTGGCTGGGAAAGGTTTTGCTGTGATGGCTCTGGCTTATTACAAGTATGAAGACCTCCCCAAGACCATCGAGATGCTCTATCTGGAGTACTTTGAAGAAGCTGTGAACTACTTGCTCAGTCATCCTGAGGTTCTTCTCTCAGATTTATGGGCTATGTATCAGGTCTCTTCTTAAATGGTCTGGTTTTCACAGAAGTTGGCTCATTCATGACAGCCATTCCCTACCCCAACACATCAACATACACTACCTTTTCTAGTCACTTCTTCTCATTTATTTATTTTTTTTTGAGATGGAGTCTTGTTCTGTCAACCAGGCTGGAGTGCAGTGGTGCGATCTCAGCTCACTGCAGCCTCTGCCCCTGGGTTCAAGCAATTCTCCTTCCTCAGCCTTCTGAGGAGCTGGGATTACAGGTGCCTGCCACCATGCCCAGCTAATTTTTTTGCATTTTTAGTAGAGACTGGGTTTCACCATGTTGGTCAGGCTAGTTTTGAATTCCTGATCTCATGATCTGCCTGCCTCGGCCTCTGAAAGTGCTGGGATTACAGGTGTGAGCCACTGCACCTGGCTCTTCTTATAGACAGTTTCTTCCTTTCTTTTTTTTCTTTCTTTCTTTTTTTTTTTTTTTGAGATGGAGTCTCACTCTGTTGCCAGGCTGGAGTACAGTGGTGCAATCTTGGCTTACTGCAAACTCCACCTTCAAAATTCAAGTGATTCTTGTGCCACTGTACCTGGGCTTGTTATTTTATTTCATAATGAACCCAAACACATTTGAGAACCCTGGGTTTGACCCAAGAAGTAAAGGGGAAGAGGTGGGGAATCACTTTCTTCAGAAGGTATCTGTTTTGGCCGGGTGCAGTGGCTAATACCTGTAATGCCAGCACTTTGGGGGGCCAAGGCGAGCTGATCACTTGAGGTCAGGAGTTTGAGACCAGCCTGGCTAACATGGTGAAACCCCGCCTCTACTAAAAATACAAAAATCAGCTGGGCGTGGTGGCGGGCGCCTATAATTCCAGCTACTCAGGAGGCTGAGGTAGGAGAATCTCTTGAACCCAGGAGGTGAGCTAAGATTGCGCCACTGCACTCCCGCCTGGGCCACAGAGTGAGATTCTGTCTTTAAAAAAAAAAAAAAAGGTATCTGTTTAAGTGTCTGAATTTAACTACCTTCTCTTCCTGTATCCTCTCAGCACAGGATTAAGTTGTGGGGGGTTTGCTTTTAGAGTTAGGTTTTAAAGGAGGAATTTGGCAGCCAAAGAAACTGGATACTAGGAAATGTTTCAGGAGTTCCAGATTCAGCATATCAGAGGATCAGAAGATAAATCTTACTTAATTCAGTTAGAGTTCAAGGTGGATGGAAGCACTGGAGCTCTTAGAAAAGGTGATAGGAGAGTTGGGTGTGGTGGTGCGTGTCTATAGTCCCATCTTCTCAGGAGGCTGAGGCAGGAGGATCCCTTGAGCCTAAGAGTTTGAGGCTATGGTGTGTTATGATTGTGGCTTGAATAGCCGATGCAATTCAGCCTGCACAACACAGCAAGACCCATCTCTTTTTTTTTTTTTTTAATAGAGACAGGGTTTCACCATGTTGGCCAGGCTGGTCTCGAACTCCTGACCTCAGGTGATCCACCTGTGTCGGCCTCCCAAAATGCTGGGATTACAGGCGTGAGCCACTGCGCCCAGCCAAGACCCATCTCTTAAAAAAGAAAGAAAGAAAGAAAGAAGGAAAGAAAATAGCACTTGAACCTGGGAGGGGGAGGTTGCAGTGAGCTGAGATTGTGCCATTGCACTCCAGCCTGGCAACAGAGCGAGACTCCGTCTCAAACAAAAAAAAAAGAAAATAGAAAAAGGTGATAGGGTATATTGTAGTGGAACCAGCATTAGATATACATAGAGAAGAGTTAAATATGAGTTTTGATTTTGCCAATTACTGGCCTCATGACCTTGGGACCCTTGTTTCTTCTTTGAAAAACTGGGATGATAAACGTATCATTTAATTCCTAGTACTTTTGTGAGGAATAAATGGTTGAAACTAGCCAAGGGTGCTGTTGCAGAAGCCACAAGAGAAAAAAATAATAAACTGCTGTTGGGAAGCCAATCAAATGGCCATTTATTTATGGCATGGAGGACATTGGTAACCTTGTGGAACAGTGCACACTCTACCCTGGAGGGGATGGAGCAGAGAATGGAAGCCAAGAAAACAAGCAACTACAGACAACTTTTTCCACAGATTTTGCCATGAAAGGGAGTAGAGAACTAGGGCTATAACTAGAGTGGCTGGGGCCAAGAATTGTCATCAAAACCTAAGAGATTCTAGAGGGTGGAAGTACACTGATGGGAATGAGCCTGTAGAGAAGATAGCTGTAAAGGAGGAGAGAGGGAAATAATTGCAGGAGCGAGGTCCTCAAGAATGAGAGTAGATGGGATTTGCAAGCACAAATAGAGGGGTGGCCTTTGTCAGGAAAAGAAATGTGGGGCTCTTTGTAATTCAATCTTGCATTCTCTGCCAGGAGAATGTCGATAAATGTCTAGTCCTGCCCTGATGAGGCTCTAGATTTGGTCATGTTTACAGTGTGCCTTTCATGGGATAATTCTTTTTCCTGGCAGATGGCTTAATGTCTGCGCAACCGATCTATGGCCAAGTGTCACTGTCATAAGGTACTTGTTTAAAGTGGCAGAACCCTTGTGACTCTTATCTGACCTGACGAGTCACGAGCGTGTCTGCCACCACAAACAATTTCAGGTTCATCCTACAGAGATAACCACTCTGTGGGAGAGCCGTGACCTGGAAAGGAGTTAGGTTTGGGGTCAGGTGAGACACAGAGGAGGCAGCGCAACAAAGCACATGAAATAAGCAGCATATTCCTCACAGACCCCAGACCCAAGAGGGCAGTATGCCTTGCAGGGCCATTGGGAAGTAGAGAGCTGTCTGGGACACAGACGTTCAGCCAGTGAGAGGGAGAGAGAGAGACAGGACTTACGGAGCCAAATCCATTACTGAGGTCTGAGTGTTACCCAAGCAGGTTTCCCTCAGGGGTTTTGGATTGGCTGATTTATACACAAACCTATTTACAAGACTCTAGTGTTGACCATTAGGTTTTTGTTTGTTTGTTTTTGTGTTTGTTTTGAGGCAGAGTCTCTCGCTCTGTTGCCCAGGCTGGAGTGCAGTGGCACCATCTCTGCTCACTGCAACCTTGCCTCCTGGGTTCAAGTGATTCTCCTGCCTCAGCCTCCCAAGTAGCTGGGACTACAGGCATGTGCCACTGCACCTGGCTAATTTTTGTACTTCTAGTGGAAACAGAGTTTCACTATGTTAGCCAGCTGGTCTTGAACTCCTGACCTCAAGTGATCCTCCTGCCTCAGCCTTCCAAAATCCTGGGATTACAGATGTGAGCCACCGTGCTCTGCCATGATTAGGTTTTAACGTGGTCAGCAGTTATGATGCATGTTGGGTTTTGGGTCAGTGGGATGAGGAACAAACACAGAGGGGAAAGTTTATTTTTTGTTTTGTTTTGTTATTTTTGGAGACAGAGTTTTGCTCTAGTTGCCCAGGCTGGAGTGCAATGGCACGATCTCGGCTTACCGCAACCTCTGCCTCCCAGGTTCAAGCAATTCTCCTGCCTCAGCCTTCTGAGTAGCTGAAATTACAAGCCCCTGCCACCAGGCCTGGCTAATTTTTTGTATTTTTAGTAGGGATGGGGTTTCTCCATGTTGGTCAGGTTGGTCTCAAGCTCCCGACCTCAGGTGATCCTTCCGCCTCGGCCTACCCAAAGTGCTTGGATCAAACTCCTGAGTTTTAACTAGGCCAAAGATGACAGCAGTACCTAGTTTAGGCCAAAGATGACAGGGCACACTGTGCCCAGCCTGAAAGTTTTAACTAGGCCAAAGATGACAGCAGTACCTAATTAAGGCCAAAGATGACAGGGCACACTGTGCCCAGCCTGAAAGTTTTAACTAGGCCAAAGATGACAGGGCACTGCTGGGTTTCAAGTAACTTTTATCAGGTCTGAGAATGGATGCCTGGACAGCAGTTATATTAAACAAATTTATATCAGATACTTCCTTGGAAACAGGAGGGAAGGCAGAGTTTGAGTTCCCATGGAAGTAGGTAGATTTGGCAGTGAGAAAATGAGGAAAGGTTCCTACCAGTAGCTTCTGTTTCTTCAATGAAGTATGAAGAGCTAAAAGTGAAGTGAAAGGTGAGGGTTAAAAGGGCTTGAGGAGGTAGGAGAAAATATGAAGAGCTCTCCTGGAGAAGTGAAAGGCAAACACAGCCATGAAATATGAGAGGATTCATGGGCAATGTAGATGCTCATTTAAATTTGTGGTCATGAAATGAAACTAAGATCTGTCAGCATAAATGTGTATTTTTTCTTCTTCTCCAGCAGTGTTCATTTGCACAAATGTGAGCCTAGAGGAAATGAATAGGTGGATTTAACAGGGTTAGCACTTTCCAGGCCAGTGTGGCCAAAGGAAGAGGGAGGTTAGAGGAGGTAAGAGTGTTTGCAAAGGAGTGATGCTGCGGTTGAAGCAGGAAATCGAGACTAGAGGAGACAGGAAGTGAGAACACGAGAGAGATACTGATAGTGACAAAGTGATAGGCAGGGTCTCATAGAGGTAGAAATGGGAGGTCTCTCAGAGGTAGAAATTTTACCAGGATGGTTAAATTGAAAGTACTGAAGATGGCACTCAGAGAGGAATGCTTGAAGCTGAGATTTTGGAGATAATGTACTGTTTTTTTTCTTTTTTTTGAGGAAGGTCTCACTCTGTCACCCAGACTGGAGTTAGTGGTGCGATCTCAACTCACTGCAACCTCCACCTCCCAGACTTAAGCGATTCTCCTGCCTCAGCCTCCCGAGTAGCTGGGATTACAGGTGCATGCCATTACTGCCTGGCTAATTTTTGTATTTTTAGTAGAGATGGGGTTTCACCACGTCGGCCAGGCTGGTCTCAAACTCCTGACCTCAAATGATCCACCCATCTCGGTCTCCCAAAGTGTTGGTATTACAGGAGTGAGCCACCACACCCGGCCATGAGATGATGTACTTATTGATGATGAATCAGTTTAGTTATGACAGTGGGAATGGGTAGCTCAGGTGGGAGAGAGAAAAAGATCATGGGAGATATGAGGTTAAGGAACTGAGGAACCATAGTAGTTGATAGGTCATCCACGTGGTTCTCATAAAGAGTGGTGATGGAGAAATTGTGGAAAGGAAGAGATAGAGGGGAGGTAAATTCCCAAAGTTGCAAATGTGGGTAAATGGTAGAACCCAAATTCAGGCTCAGGTTCAACTGACTTCCAGGGTGGGCACAACTCACCATATTCCACTGTTTGTGGACTCATTCTTCTTCTTTTTTCTTTGTCCCTTTCTCAGTAAAAGGTCCAAGAGTTGGGCTGCTTGGAATTTCCAAAGGGGGTGAACTCTGCCTTTCCATGGCCTCTTTCCTAAAGGGCATCACGGCTGCTGTCATCATCAACGGCTCTGTGGCCAGTGCTGGGGGAGGTGTACACTATAAGGGTGAGGCCCTGCCCCCTATCGGCGTCAACAAAAATCGCATCAAGGTGTCCAAAGATGGCTTTGCAGACATTGTGGATGTCCTGAACAGCCCCTTAGAAGGACCTGACCAGAAGAGCTTCATTCCTGTGGAAAGGACAGAGAGCTCCTTCCTGTTCCTGGTAGATCAGGATGACTGCAACTGGAACAGTGAGTTCTATGCTAATGAAGCCTGTAAACGCTTGCAGGCCCAGGGGAGGAGAAAGCCCCAGGTCATCTGTTACCCAGGGGCAGGGCACTATATCGAGCCTCCTTATTTCCCCGTGCCAGGCTTCCATGCATGCCTTGGTAGGCGGTCCTGTTATCTGGGGAGGGGAGCCCAGGACTCATGCCATGGCTCAGTTGGATGCTTGGAAATGACGCCAGACTTTCTTCCACAAACACTTGGGTGACAAAGAGGGACAATCCCAGCCAAACTGTAATTCTCATTTGATCATGTGGCCTCTCTGTTGCTAATCTCTCCTGGGAACATCTGCCACATTTAGTGTGTGTATGTGTATTTATTCTTTGCTTTTTAATAACTACCTAAAGTTTTTCCCTGTCATTATTAAAATGAATTTTCCAGTAAGAATGAGTTTTTAAGATTTTTATAAAGTGTACACTTTATCCATTTGGGAGGGGAGTAACTCCGTAGAAACTACAAAAAGTGAAAAAAATCTCCTTTTACTATCTCAACACACAACTGGTAAGGCTTTAGTTCTGAGAGGAAAAGTGAGTAACATCAATTAACAGTGTCTGGTACATAATGGAGTTCAATAATTATTTGCTGAATGAGTGTAAATGAACCAGGCACGGTGGCTCACACCTGTAATCCAGCACTTTGGGAGGCCAAGGTGGGCAGATCATTTGAGGTCTGGGGTTGGAGACCAGCCTGGCCTACATGGTGAAACCCCGTCTCTACTAATAATACAAAAAAATTAACCAGGCATGGTGTCATGCACCTGTAGTCCCAGCAATTCAGGAGGCTGAGGCAGGAGAATTGCTTGACCCCAGGAGGCAGAGGTTGCAGTGAGCCAAGATCATGCCACTGCACTCCAGCCTGGGCAACACAGCAAGGCTTTGTCTCATAAATAAATAAATAAATACATACATACATACTGTGGAAGAAAAGCATGTAATATAAAAGATATATCAGATTTGAGTTTCTCCCTTAAGAATGGAAGTTAACGTCTTGCCTATAAACTGATTACTAGTTAGATAAAAAACTACCAAAAATTTTCAAAATAAATGCATATTAGTTCTTTGATATCTTCTCCTTGGATTAATAAGGATTTTTCTAGGGCAAATAAAATTTATGTTCCTGTTTATACTTACAGACCTTGAGGATTTATCAATTTTATCAGTTTAAAAGCTGATAAAACACTATTTAGATGACTTACATAAGTGATTTTAACAATGACAAATAAAATAACATTGAAAATAAATAACAATTTAAGCTAGGCATGGTGGCTCACTCTTGTAATGCCAGCACTTTGGGAGGCCAAGGCCGGTGGATTGCTTGAGTTCAGGAGTTCAAGACAAGCCTGGGAAATATGGTAAAACCCCATCTCTATTAAAAAAAAAAAAATTAGCTAGACATGGTGGTGCACGCCTCTAGTCCCAGCTACTTGAGAGGCCCAAGGTGGGAGAATCGCTTGAGCCTGGGGTCAGAGGTTGCAGGGAGCTGAGATCATGCCACTGCACTCCAACCTGGGCAACAGAGCAAGACACGATCTCAAAAAAAGAAAGAAAGAAAGAAAGAAAGAAAGAAAAGACAATATTTATATCACTTGATATAAATAGTTCCACAATAAACTTGTTTTTTCTTAAACCTTAGTTGTATTTAAAGGAAAAAATACCTTAATTTATGAATCTTTTCTTTTCTTTTTTTTTTTTTTTTGAGACGGAGTTTTGCTCTTGTTACCC